CCAGAATAAGGAGTCCGGCGTGTCCATCAGCAGGCCCAGCTAAGAGTAAACCAAAAACAGGATCCACAACCGTCTTGGAATTAAACTAGTCGTATGATGACAAATCTCCCTCTAATCCACAAGAGTGGCAACTGCCTGTGGTTGTGGCGACCTGGGGCAGATTTTGGCAACGCTGCCCTCGGGACTGCAGGAAATCACAGTGGCTAAACCAGCAAAACGAAAAAATGGAAATGATGTTGGAAATGGAGTGTCTACAACCAGTGAATACAGGCCATTCAAGAATCCAAGCAAGTAGGCTATCACACAACTTCAGCCTACACGGGAGGACGCCAATAGAAATATCGCTGCTACTGAATAGAGACGTAATAAAATCTCATCAATGTGTCCATCGCTTTTCTGTTGTGTATTCGTATTCCAATGGCAGAGTGACGTAACGGCTCTCGTCCAGATGTCTTGTTCTTAGGCAGACGATGTGTGTGTTTCATCCAATTTCCAAAAATTACAGTGGTTTTGGCAAAATATAATATTCGCCACTGGTTCCCTGGTCATCGTGTATGAATGAATATTCACAAAGACCTTATCGGATTTCCTAAATATAGACATGTGGCTTATTTCTTCTAACTGACTCACAAACACCTTTACTACTCTGCATTCATTTTGTTCCAGACTTTGTGGCTAATCAACGTGCAGTGTGCAATGTTATACAATCGGAATGAAAGGCGGAACCCTCTAGGCACGCAAACCATTCATGTCTACCTGCAAATGAAAATAAGAATCTATCCAGCGTAATACGACAATCCTAATAGACTTGGATACTTTGCTGATTGGTTAGGTTTGTTTCTCAAACGCAATTCCAGTTGTGGTGTCACTAAGTCGTAGCTATAGGTTGCCCTTAACTCTTAGAATAGGAGGAGCTTGGTCCTTTGTGACGACGTTCACAACAAACTCATGTCTGCTCATCAAGCAGTTATTAAATTATTGATCAATGCCAAGGTTAACAGAAAGTCGATTCGGAGAACTATTTTTGTTTTATTTCATTTTACTTCATTTTATATGACCCGTTTTCACGTCTAATGTGCGGATATCAGCACTTCTCACATTCGATTCATTCACTCGCATCCACTGTTAACGAAGATCTTCCAACTTTTACACGTAACTGCGGTTGCTGTTCGAGGATTTTCATTTCATCTCGAATGCCGTAGAATGCTGGTCGAGCAATTCTCCCTGGAGTCCTGAGATAACCAGGCTGGAGAGTTCCCAATTGGATTGCATTCCCAGACAAGTCCAGTACCAATTTCCCGACACCGGAGCGATGAGAGGCTTGGTCGCCCCGGAGCGGAATCGAACAAGTACCGCGCTTGTGATGACGAACATCACTACCATTGTGCTATCCGCCTCCTACTTAGAATTATAATGAGGAGAATTCTTGCAAAGCACATTCTAAGCAGTGCATTATTTAGAAACTTGTTCTATGATGGTCGCGATGGTTACCCGATGTGCAACCAAGCGTTGGCCATTTGATGTGGCATTTTCAGTACTAGGAGGTGGGTAGCACAATGGGAGTTATGCCGATTATCACGAGCATGGTACAGGTTCGATCCTGCTCCGGGCCAACCAAGCCTCTCATCCCTTAGGGGTCGGGAGATTTGTACCAAACTTGGAAAAGAAATCACCATCTGCAATCTGAGTGCGAACGCCCTCGCTGGGATATTTCATGACTCCAGAGAGAATCGTTTCCACCAGCATTCGATGACTTTCAAGATGAAAGGAAAATCGTCAAGCAGCAGCCGAAGGCACATGTAAAGAGCTGGAAGATCCTCATAGATGATGGGTACGAGGATGCGAATCGAATGCGAGAAGTGCTGGGATCTGCAAAGGAGATGTGAAAGACGGGTGTATGAAATAAAAACGAATATAGCCACAAGGATGCCGAGATATTTGCAAAACTCCCGACCGCTGGTGTCTACGATGGGGATCGAACACGCTATTACCCTTTTCGGGGACTAACGCGTTCACCGTCACACCGAGCAGGTCTTTGGTTTCGCCTCTATCTCAGCCGTGTTTTACAGGTGCCAACAGCAATCACCCGTCAACGAAATTGATCTTGGAAGCACAAACCAATATTCAACCCGGTTAAGCTGAAGGTGCAGTATAAATCACAATGTAATCACTTTTATTCACTGCCCATTCTTTTTCAAGGTATGTTGTGAAATATGACCACAACGATGCTGAGATATTTGCAGAACTTCGGACCGCAGACACCTCCTAGAGGTTAAGGCATACAACTTTTCGCCAGCAGTGTGGAAGCATGAAAAGTCGGGAGTTGATCTAATCCTGAAAATTGCGCAATACGTTAACCTCGGTGAGATACCTGTGGCCCGGAGTTTTGCAAACATCTCAGCACAATTGAAATAAAATAAAATAAAAAAGAAATAAATAAAATAAAAAATAAAATAAAATAAAATAATAAAATAATAATAATAATAATAATAAAATAATAAAATACGAACAAAATCATCTCAGCACAATTGTGGTCGTATCGCACATGATACCGTGCCATGAAAAAGAATAGGTAGTAAGTAAAAATTGATTCAGTTAAAAAAAGAATGTTCAGCATTATAAGTGGTGAAATGATGAACAGTTGAACGAACATCGACAAAACTAGAAAAACACCTGAACCGACTACCGTCCCCGTACATAGCATATAACCTCAAATTTTGAGTAGACAGTACATCACGTAGTAGGAAAACAACAGAGATAATTTATGAGTTGCTAAAAAAGCTAGATTATAACAAGTCGTGCATGAACGTCATATCACTGATTTCCACCTACCATGACAGATATTTGGAACATCTATAAACTTATGTGGCGCAATGGTTATACGTGCTCTACATTCCACATGGTTACCCATGGTTCGATTGAGCGCCTAGGGCTAACCGACCATCCGCCATCCCTCTGATTGAGAAATTGCTCTCAGAGTTGTTTGGAAGGATAGAAAGCACGCACATCGGTAGAGACCCCCATGTTACTGGATGGGCCAAATGCTCACTCAATTATCTTGATGACATACCTCATGGGGGTTAATGCATGGCGTACACTTCAGGAATAGATCAAGTCCCAACTTCTTATGGATTCATACTACTAGAGAGAAAAAGCTAAGAGCTATGTGACTCGTACATATTTTTCTAGTGTTGAACTTGTTCCTGAAGTCGTTTGTCCCTCAAGAAAATCTATGATGAATCTTCAAACGAAATATACTTGGATATTTGGACGGCCCGTCCTCACTGGTTGTGCGGGCCCCAGCATATTCCCCATTTTTTGAAGTTTTGCTGGTTTAGCCATTGTGTTTCCCTAGAGTCACGAGGTTAGCCCAGCCAAAGTCTGCCCCAGGTCGTCACTACCACAGGCAGTCGCCATTCTTAAGGATCAGAAGGAGATTTGCCACCAAGAGATTAGTTTGATACTAGGATGGTGGTGGATCCTGGTATTGATTTGCTCTTAACGGGCTTCCTAATGGAAACGTCGGACTTCTCAGCTTGGAAGACACTGCCGGTGGTATGAATTCCATCCGCTGTACATTGCAGCCCAACACGACGGAACACCTCCCAGCCGCGATGAGGCGATAAACCATTGGGAGGTCAAACGAAACATAATGAAAAAAGTCAAAAAAGAACGACGTTTTACTGATGGAAAGTGATAAACTGTCATTCCTTCCGAACAATGGAGAAAAGGAAATGTCATTTATTCACCTTGAAACTGTCTTAGATAACTGAAACGGTAAGTAAATGATTTTCAACCAGAATTACTTACTCACATTCTTAGATACCTGTATCAAGTACAGGACGACGTACGGTATGCTCTTTTAAACCAAACTATGAGACGGCACGTAAATATTTGCACACCTAGACAGCTTATCCGGTAGTAAGCTGGTCCCAGCACTTCTATCATTTGACCGGTTAGCTTGTAAGCTTCATGCGTGGAAGTGGACGAGTTCGTGTATGGGTTCGACTTAGGTTTGAGGAACTATCGCCACCTTTCTCTATAGATATGTTGGTTATTGTTCGAGTGTAGTTTTCCATGCAATCCTGAGATAACGGCTCAAAAACGCTTTCAAATCTTCATCACAGGCAGCCACTGGCTTCAGAAGATAGCTGGCTAGTCGCACATATAGCAGTTCCTCATCAAATCATTCCGGATGGGAATCAATAAGTCCATAATTTCTACTTCCTTCGTGATCAATACACTGCTGCTATCTGACATTGTCCATGGAGGAAAAAATTCGTGCGGTCAGAAATCCTCCCGAAAGTTACTTCACAGCCGAAATCCATAGCGACCTTATCTATAAGATGTGAACATTCTGGCGTTTATCAGCGTGGTCATTGATTCCTAGACTATCACTGAAAGCGGTGTGTACTGATAACTGATTACCTCATTGACCTCCGCCAGAAGCTCTATCCTTCCTTCTTTCACTAAACAGTGTGAAATATTTTGTGAAACGAAAACGACTAAGAGCAGGCCAGTAGAAGTTATAGAGATCGATTAGGTGTAGATCATGGCAGATACTTTACAACACGGTTCTAAACTGCACTATTTTATTCTTTCCTCTCCACATGCACGTACGAGAACATATAGTATTGATTTATTCAACTCAGAAGTGCAAAACAGCATACTAACAATCTAAAGCTAGAGCATATTCAAGGAAAAACGTATTATATATAGAAATACTGTCATGCGTTTTGATCCCATCCATGGAAAAATACCATGCCCTGACTGAAAAGGAACGCTCCATAATCATCCATCTAAGGCGCGAAGGATCATTTTCAAACAGACACTGCACCACATTCACGCATTTTATCGTCAGTGGTTGGCTGCTGGGTGGTTGGGTACCTTTTCCTTCCTGAGTTTTCCCACTTTATACGTTTATGTCGAATTTATGCTTACAGAATTGCAGTACTACAAGCCTAGAGAGCCTTTGGTTCCTCATAATCAACATTTTCAGGATGCATCTTTCTTCTGTGAAAAGAACAAATTTAACATTCGAGGATGAAAATCCAACGGCAAGAGGTGTGTTTTATTTGGAGTTTAGTCCATTTCTACTATAAATGCAAGATTCTTAAGGAAAAAAACAAGTGGCAGACACACCACGACGTGCCTTAGGGGATGTGAAGAATATGTTGCGTATAGAAGATGTAATTTGTACTTTCCCGCCTTGGTTTTATTACTTAAGTAGTTTTGTTGAGTAAGTACTTCTAATGAAGTTCTAGTGATTGTTTTGTAATCCAGGCAACACCAAACAGAAGCTCCATCAAAGGAGCGGCAGTGGCCTCCGTTCAGAAATCAGGGGTTACAATTTTTCATACATATCGTTGATATGGACCAGTTAAAAGTGAGCGTTCTTCTTTATTTCAGCTTCATTTCATGAAGACTAACTTGGGAAATCTCGAGGAAGAAGGTTAGTATCAAAAAAGGTCTACTGACGCTTTTTAATAATTTTCCTTTTCATGGTTCATTTTTCAATGTCTAAATGACGTCATCTTTTAGCACGACGATCATTAAAATGTCCTTCTTCTTCAGCGGTTAGTCCTTAGTTTTACTCTACATTTCTATTTCTATATCTATATTCCTTTCTCTAATTTTCCTCCTACATTGTAGCTACTAAATCTGGATATCAGCGACGATATTGTCGAAGAGTCGAACTTACATGAGGATCCAAGAATTGAAGGGACCCTTTTTCGGCGAGAGGTTTGATTAGTAGGATTTTTTCCTGCCCTTTTTTTCAACTCTTCTTTCTATCGTGTCCTTTACAGGACAGTATCATCCTCTCAGATCCAGAAAACGACGCTGAATATTTTGAAAAGGTACACGCACCACTTTTCTTCGGATCTCGAATAGATGACTATTATTCCTTTAATAATCTAAGTTGATAAAATTTTTAAAAAAACAACTTTTCAGTCTAAGTAAAGATAATTTCAGTTGGTTTCAACGGAAGACTATGGAGATAATTCGATCACTGACGACGACGATGAAACCATTGAAATGTGTGGTTTGGAGGATGAACCGTTTGATTACAGACATGTCATTAATGTACGTTTGTTATGTAACTATCGTCTAGTCTTAATTCTTGATTTCGTTGACCATTTAACAGTAAGAGAAAGATATTTTTAAAGGATTTGGACGGAAATGCTGTGTTGACTGAGGACTTCCCACCGTTTCTGTACGAAAAGCCGGACCTCGTTGGTCTCGATAAAGTGAAAAACTACACGCTACAAGAAATAGAGGAGTTGTTTGACTCATTTTCCGACGTCTTAATACTTTAATTTTCCGACATAAGCAATTGGCATTCTTATTTCCAACTAGTTAATTTTTATCATTTGTACTTGCTATAAAATTAACACAATCACATAGGGATACGTGAATCTCACACTGTCATGGTGCATGGACGTGTTTTATGTAGAGGTTCTAATCTTCTTTCACTGATCTATGGTTCTTACCCTTTCACGTCTGCTTTAAGACGTCCCTCTGCATGAATTTAACTCTATACTTGTATTTTGAGAAATTTGTGACCAGAAATCTGCTTCTGTCAATAAACTGGCAGAAATTAGCTCGTGTGATGCTAAATGAAAGACGATTTGGAAGCTCGCTTAGTAGGGAAAGCAACCTTTCGACTGGACCTCCTTTCGACAGAAAAGGTGGATTGCAAGGTATCCTGGTCAGAATATGGAACATCAGATCATAAAACCTCTTTATGTGTATACACAATGCAGTAGCTTATAACTTTTCCACGAAAATAGTTTAACAGTAGCGAAATTAACGCTTGTACAGGGGAGTGAACGAAGTGTTCCAATGAATGCAACAGTGAGCTTAGTAATCAAGGCACTTAACAAGACGAAGATTTACTACACATTTTCGAGAACTCACATTAAAGCTAAATAAACTAAGTGCAGTGGTGTATCAATCACATCGATATGCCAAAAACGCAGAAGTGCCACAAATAAGTTGCACAGCGCGATGATGATAGGATCGTCCAAGAATTTATGACCCGTTGGTTTGTGTGATACTAAAGGGAATTCAGCAATGCACAATAACTACAAGAAGTTAAGTTTCTGAACTAAACAATCACAAGGCACGGAAGTTACTACAATTGACGAGAACTAGCTAAAACTAGTTTGAGACATGGCTCACACAAAGCAGGAAAGCATGGCTACCCTATACGGACCTCAACCGCAACGGTGCGGATCAACGATAAGGTAACTGATGCTTCTTATAGTATGGTCATAACAGTATTACCACACGATTCAGCATTCGCTACCAGATTCCCATCGATTGAAGAGATCTGATAATTTCTGTGAATAATTTGGAGAATAGGGGCCTTGACCATTTGATGAAATAAAAAGACAAACTAATCATTTAATACTGGAAACGAAACAAATACAATGCGGTTAAGAAAACACTTGACGTAAACAACATCCACTTACTCCGGTCACGTGAGAAGCCATCGAGGTAGGCAGAATTGCTGGCGCGGAAAGATGAGCTTGTAGATTTACAGGCGCTACGCTTTGATCATTAATGTCGTCCAGAATAAATTCCGATAAAAGTGAATCAACCTGTTGATAAAAAACGGAGGGTTGTAAACACAAAGTTATGAAACTCGTTAATGATAGACAGTACAAAACAGGACACTTGGATAGCCCCCTTCACTGGTTGTGCGGACCCAAGTATAATTTCCATTTCTTCGGAGTTCTGCTGATTTAGCTGTTGTGGTTCTCTGGAGTACCGAGCTCAACCTAGCCAAAGTTTGCCCAAGGTCGTCACCACCACAGACAGTCGCCGTGCATCAGAGGGAAATCTGCCACGAAGTTTGAGTTTGATAATAGGACGGTAGTGAATCGTGGTATTGGTTTACTCCTAGCTGAGGTTCCCGATGGAAACGCCGGATTCCTGCTTGGGAGGCCCGCCAGGGGATGAATCCCCCGCTGTACATCGCCGTTCGACACCCAGGAACACCTTCTAGCCACGATGAGGAGGTAAAGCGTTGTAAGGCAAAGTAGAATAATAATTAAGAACTCAAACCATTAAATGCGCACTGTAGACACTTACTCTAGCAGTCTTACAACAAACAAAATTACTATAAAAGTATAATTGAACAAAGTACCTCGGCTAATCCGAAGAACTTCGTTAGAGTCATGTTCTCAATTAAAAGTTGTGTAAGAGCTTTCAATGCAGGAGCCAATAGTAAGATGTTACCGTACCTGAAACTCAGAAGATGTACACCATTAGTGCAATCGTTTAGAAAGTCAAAAATTGCAAAGAAACACTCAAGCGTCCAACCTTGTTGGTGCCTCGTCACGATTATTCTCCACAATAAATGCGTACAGCGCCTTGAGAACCTTATTCCGTGCCTCTCTTACAAGGGTTTGACTGGTTGGTGTAAGCCCTTTTGCCTCAGGATGAAGAAAAGCAAGAGCCTACAGAAAGAAGATTGATATAACCATAACGACGCTGAGATATTTGCAAAAGTCTGGAACACAGATGTCTGCAGTGGGGATCCAACACGCTATTACCCTTTCCGGAGGTTAACGCGTTCACCACCACACCATACGGGTACTTCGCTTAACCTGTCTCGCAGACGTGTTATTGTCTCTGTTAAGGATCAAGTCTTTCTTATCGCAGATGCCCTTTCTGCATAGTTCGAAGAAATCCCCTATGCTTGCTAACAGTGTAAATCCTGTCAAAGAACAAAGTTTCCAATAACTCCTTTTCGTAAAAAGATCGAAAAAAAAGAAGTGAAAACATAAAAATCAAAAACAACGGAAGCGAGCGAATGTGTAGACAAACCTTAAGGCAAACGAACTCCTCTTCACGCATTTGAAGCTGCCGCATCGGCCATACGATCTCATCGAGTACTCTGTGACAAGAAAGTATGTGTAACATTTACCTACTTATTTACTTAAGTAAATAACTGTGCCAAACTTGAACTGAAGGAATCGTGAAACGAAACAAAAAAAGAGAAAATGCCGAAAAAAGCATGCCTCGGTGTAATATTACTGGTCTTGAAAGCAGCAAAACCATTCAACTCATTTGACTGATCTCGACTCATGTAAGTGTTGTTGAAAAGGCATACACGCGTCGTATCAGGACTTCTGCAAATGCAAAAATTGAAGCAGAAGGACTCGCACGGTGCGGTGGTGAACGCGTTAGCCCCCGGAAAGGGTAATAGCATGTTCGATTTCCATCAAATATTCCAGCGGTCCGGAATTTTGGAAATATCACAACACCATTATGAAGCACAACTGTCAACAACCACGTGAAAGCAATCCTAATCACCTGAACGCTGGCATTAGAATAAGATGCTGAGGTGCATAGTTTTTCAAAAGAATAATTTTGTCCTCCATGATCAGATTCGGAAACGGTTGTAGTGCCTTCGCCCACTCGACCATCAGCAATAAAGTAGTACGTGAAATTTCATTAAGATCCTAAAAAATCTAATACTTCAATCTAACGGACCTCACAAATATTGGTTTTTTTTTTCATAATAAGAGCATTTGATGTCACAACAAATAGTTGCGATGTCTGAGCAGACTTTGAAAAATAAATGCTTAATGTTACCGCGTTTTCACTTTGGCTTTCAACAATGGTACACGTCCATGAAAAACCCTAGCAATGAAAGCATTGCTTGTTTTCAGGATTGAAGGATTCTATTCTGAAAACAACACTTAGAAGTGCTCGTGTTCATCCTTTAAGAACCAGTCGAAGCTCAAATGGTGCTCGACCTTGTTACGAAAGACTGATTACTTCCATTTACTGGCTCTTATAAACACGTGCAACGGGAACGATACTGTGTTAAATAGTAGATCTTCTTTAGCAATAGTTGATAGTTAACATATTCAAGTGTTCCAGTACTCCTCAACTGTGACAAAGCTCAAATGCACCATTCAATGGTTTACCACAGTTCGAGCGCAAGTAGGTCTACTACGGTTCACCCTAAAATGCATCAGGTGCAAACTATAAACTTCAAATGATCTTCAGTGAAATTCTGGGTGGCAAACGAGCACCAAACACGTTTTTAACATCCGGAGTCTAAAGTTAGTTCTTCAGTAACTTCATTTCTCCATAACTGGAGAACATGGAAAGTCCAGAATTTGACAGACTTATTAAAAAGACCTTCTATCTATTTAAGAGTAAATATGACTTCTAAAAAATGTAACTTCATCTTCGATGGTGTTTAGCATCAAAATTTTCAGGAAAAAGTAAACTTTAAAACGTAGGCATCGCTTCGAACAGCAAACACGGGATTATTACTACACAATTTATTTATACACAAAAGTCCAGTGCTCTACCCTTTCCGCCAATGTCTTCATTGTCTTCAGTGAATACTCGCAAACGCCCACTCGTTTGTAACCGCCTGTATGACCGTCTATGCACAACGAAGAATTGCATAATATATCCTAACGGTAGAGACGGTGATGACACGAGTTCGAGTACCGTTTATATGGTACCTTGTAAAGCGCGTAAGGAGGAAGGCATTCGTAAAACGGATAGACCATTGTGGTTCCACACAAAAAAACTAGTCGGTAAATTTGAAATTAGTCCAAATATTCCACTGGGTGCACATAGGACACAGAGACATAAAGGGAAAGATTTCGAACAGAAAGCCATTAGCCTCACAGAAGGATCTAATACATCAGCGCGTAAAACTCTCGAACCGCTTCGTATAAATTCCAAAAATTCAAGAATGAACCACAACGAGGGACGTTTCACGATTACACGAGAACCTGCGCCATACTTTAGGCCAACTTTTTAACCTGAGCCAGGCACATTCCTTCTCCATGCAAGGCTCCGCGATTTCCACCAAATAACTGGAAAGCTGGTAAAGAATACTTCGGTGACTGTACAAAAGAAACAGTTTATTTAGCAGATGAAGATTTACGCACTAAGATTAATCTACTCAAGTTATAAAAGTGTATGATTGGGCAGACTGCATGACAGTTTGACCTTTCCAAGCCATAAAGAAAGCGAAACCGCCGAAAGGTCAACTATTGTGAATGAATAAATGCTGTAATAGCAACCTTGTGTTTGTTCATCGAGAAAATAATGAATTACTGACCAACGACGAGATTATAAAGCTTTTATTGTTAAAAGAAGGATGATATACGCTTAACTACATTCACCTAACCTCAGCTGTACAAGGTTTGTTTGGTTGCGTAAACGCAGAAGTCGATGGTTCTCCACCCAGACTTGTGACCGCAGGTTGGATAACAGAATTACGGTAACGTAAACACATCTCCTGAATGAGATCCTTCATGAAAGCTCCGGAGATCTCACGCTATAAACAGGTTATGTATTTATTCCTAAAAATCTTGGGTAGATGACAAGAGATATTGACATTAAGCGGGATAACTAACGACGATTACATGGAAAGGGGATTAAACCTTGTAAATGTTAAAAGAGGTATTACTTCAAACCTGATTCACTCGATGCTCCATATCCATGAGTGCAGTAATGACTGGTGCCTGATTTTCAGTGGCATGTTCACTAGCAGGTGTGGGACTACCACGAGAACGCTTCAATGGGCTACCACCAGATGGCTCTCGTTCGAATTGTATAGCTAAAGCTTCTGTATAAGCAAGTGGGTAATGCAACAACCTTCACACCTCTATTTGAAACTGTAATTGTTTTTTCGAAACCAAATTGCGGTTTTATGTTCTTTTCCAGCGAGACTACTTTAATAGGCTGGTCGAAACGTTCTCCTAAAACCCAAGATACTAAAGCGTTGTTAAACCTATCTGTAATGTGGCGAAGATAAGGGTTTAGAGACACTTACTGATCTCTGTGCAGAAGGAGAAAAAGACTGCAAGCATTGACAAGCATATGCTTAGATGGTTAACTACTTTCTAGTGACTACAGCAAAGCGCCCTCGATAATCTGCGTGAACCAACTCTCGGGTATGATTTGAAAAAACAGTTCCCTGGAATCTCGAGAACAACCTGGCCAAAGTCTGCTCCAGGACTTCACCACCACAGGCAGTCGCAGACCTTGTGGATCAGAGGAAGATTTACACCACCATGCGACTTTGATACTAGGACGGTAGTGGATCCTAGTATTGGTTTACTCTTACCTAGGTTTCCTGATGGAAACGCCGGACTCACCTTGGGAGAACCTGGCAGGGAATGAATCCCCCACTGTACATCGTAGTCCGACACCCAAGAACACCTCACAGCCACGATGAGGCGGTAAACCGTTGGGAGGGTTCTAGAATATTACCGCTTATAATTATTAATAAACCAGCCTCTCGAACTAAATTTGAGAAACAATGGCAGGAATGAAAGTGAAGCAGCTTTCCCACCAAATTAGCAAATTACCATTTGAATAGCGGTAACAACTGCCTAAAGTTCTGCACTAATGTCATACACTTGTAGTAGGCAGTTTATTCTACATTAACGATGTTAAGTGTAAATTGGTGCTAGTTTCTGATATGCAACAACATACTTCAAAGCTGAAATAATTTGTCGCAAATAACATTGAAATGATTATTGTATTCTGAAGACACTTCGTATGGTGCGTATAGCGCAATGGTCGAAGGCGCTCTGCAATACACACATGGGACCAATCCCAGTGCCTCAGACCTACCAAGCCCTCTATCGCTCGGCAAATTGGTACCAGACTTGTCTGGGAGAATAGCAGCACTAGCTCTATACATCGGCAGTCCACCGCAAGTCATTATAAAGACCAAATTTGCAATCCGAAAACTTCATCATTTTCATTTAGAAACACTGCGTACTTTTTACAATGTATGTCAGAAAATGACAATAAAGGATCAACCTGTCCGGCTCACCTTCTCTTTTCATGCCGACTCGTACACATTTGTTAAAACGGCAACATCGACAGGCACATCGCATGCTTTTGTCCACAACACACTGATGTTTAAAACGACATGTGAATTTCTGATCTCTTAGCACTGTACGGCGAAAGAACCCCTGAAAACAACAGCATCTGTCACCAATAGGTAGGTTGGATAAGTTGAAAGACCACATGAGAGTACTCATTCATCACAGACCACCAACATTTCGAAAATAAAAAAAACCTACAACCAAGGACTTATTGGAATTCAGTTATTTATTTCTTGGTTCTATTTATAACATATTGATTTAACCAAATCTTTGAAAAAGAATATTTTGTGTGGAATATTATGTTCTATTAAAAGAAGGGCTTTCGCAAAAGCAACTACTTTAGGATGTCGAACATTGTCCGAAAAATATTGCCATCAATACATCCGGTCCGGCATGACTCAAATGTGAATCATTTTTTCCAGTTGCTTCCTTTGTTGCAGTTTTTCGCCATGCTCTTTGTGACCAATCGATCCCATGAACGTTGCGCCGGATGTGATCCAAAAAAAATCATCTATACAAAAATCTATTTTGAAAAAAATGCAGATGAGCTTATTTCATAGTCAGAGACAATTTGTGCTCAAGAGATTACCTACTACTTTCGCTGTTGAAACCCAACACTTAGAAACACGGTATCAAGCGTTTGAAGCTTTAAGAGTTTGGTTATGGAGGTGTTTCGCGGGGTTAAGGAGACTAAGTACATTACAGTCAGCTTGACCTCTGCAGGGACGAAGGCGAAATCCACCGAAATATCAGCTTCGTCATCATCAGGAATAAAATAACACCCCGCGTTTGCTCAACAAAAGTATAAAGAATTACTTTATCAATGCCAAGGTTAAGAGAAAATCGGTCGTAACTCCAAAGAGTGTAGACGATAGAATTGTGAACCCATCAATGTGATTCTATACAGTTTTCCTTTAAAAACAATCTAGAAGAACTGTGCCTCAGCATAACAAAATTCGCAGTTTCGAAGACCATGTGAGAAGATATGCATCATATGTTGTGGACGTCATAACAAATCATAATAGGACTAGGATCAACATCATAATAAAAGAATAAAGTGGACACCCTTTTTAGTCTTATAATTTCTGGTCGGAAGTGTTTTCTTATCCTTCTGATCCCTTTTCGACACAAACTCTCACTCAAAGAAACATTCGCATACCGACTGTCAATGCAAAAAAGAACGCCTTCCTTCACCCAACAAATGGTACATGACGCCATCACTACCGATTCAGCCAACGTCGAAATTCCGGACGAATTCTGCGTATGTTTCCTGTTTTCTGAATTCTTTAGGAAAACGTGAATTTCAAATAATTTTAAAATTTTGAATGTACCCCATGGGAATTATATATGACCGAAGGGCGATAGAGCAGTCTCCTCCATAAACCCAACAATTTTTAACTCCATAACTCCTCATGTTACTGAAAAAATGTCAGGAAGTATGGAAAAAGCATCATCGTGAATTACAAATTAAGCACTTAAAAAACAGTTTTGACTAGATTAATTGATTGTTCTTTAAACCCCGATCAATATTATGAACCATGGACATTTTAGATGCTCACAGAAAAGTGACTCGATTATGGATGGGTCCAGGTCTACAACGGATATGAGGCTATTGTGATATAAATGTGTTACTATCATATAAATGACACATATAAATGCAAAAAAAACCAAATGTACGTAAAGGCAAACATAATGTAATGCAAATGCAAAACAATGTATGCAAATGCAAATATATAAATGACACAGACATAGAATAACTTTTCCATCAGAACGCCCAACTAAGGGTAAACCAAATACTAGGATTTATCACCGTCCTGGTATCAAATTAGTCGCATGGGTGACAAACCTCCCTCTGATCCACAGTGGCGGCGGTTGGGTCATTCTTTGGCTAGGCTGACATCGGGATTCCAGAGAACCACAATGACTAAACCAGCAAAAATTCCAAACAATGGAGATTATGCTGGGACCCGAACAACCACTGAAGACGAGCCATCCAAATAATTAAGTAAATTACATATAAATAAAAATGATAAACGTAAAGATTGCAATAGAATAATATAAATCACTACGCCTACATCACTAATAGTAAACCTATAGCAGAAATCGCCACCATGACTGGAAAGACCTAGATCCAAGAAAGAGAACCTCCTTCCATTCTGTAAAGGTTGGCAAATGTCTGAAGTGATGAGGAACGTTCCGGCAACGTTATTTCGGGAATTACCAAAAAAGGTTTGAAATAGCAAAATATGTTTAATCAAAAATAGTGCTGGGCACAGTCCGCCGAGTGACGACTGGCCATTCCAGTGTCCAAGGAGGAATGAACCGTTGACACAAAAATTCTGCCATAGTCTTAATAACACCAGTTGTTTACTATAGGATATATAAACATATATGCATAAACTAGTGTTCTTAACAAGTTTTCAAACCTTCTGAAAACATCACCGTTGTAGATATCGGAAATAGTAATTCTAATTCTTTAGAGATGTTTCATTTTCAAATTTATAGTTTCCTGTACAAACCTCTGGGATCAGTTGGTTCCCAAAAGGTACCACAACGCGCATTTTAGAATAGAAGTCTCATCAAAACTAGTTTCACACCATTCTTTCTCCTGTTTATGGCCTCAAGATAGCGATGTGGTGTTTCTCGATGCCACGCCCTAAGTTCGACACTTCCATACTAAATCTGTCTAAGACGAAAACTGCAACGTAAACAAATAGATTTCATATAAAAGTACTGGCAAAATGGAAAAACACCATATGAAATACACTAGAATCCAAAGAGAAGATAGCCAAACCAGTAAAAACAAGTTGTCAAACGGAACTGCACTAGTTTTAGGACAACTCAAAGGTTAACACATTCTTCCGACATATATTTCGCTGGAGATGATTTCTCTTGACAATTTAAAACGAACATTATAACCTCCTACAGAGCATTTTTGTTGAAAAACTATTGCAATCCATAATTGATTTTTTAGGGTCAATAAAGCCCATTCTCCTCGCTTTTCGATATCGTGGCTTCTAATTTGAGCACGGAAGAGAACAGTCATGATTTCGTGCAACATCATACGATGGTACCACAGTTTATCGCTCAGATTTTTGCCTCCACAGCTCCTACGTTAAAACTTCCAGGAATTATAACTTTATTTCATTTTTTTAATATGTGATTCTTAAACAAGATGAAAACGACACTTTGCAACAAAAACATCCCGTTCTGTTCCACTTGAAACAATAGGGAAAAGACTGCTTTCTGAGTCTGAAAAGTTCTTAACTTGTCAAGTATACCAATCGGGAAAAAAAGCAATGATTCTTTATGTTTTAGGCACCATGGTCTTTATAGCAGTAAATAAAAAAGGATAAAGTTTCAGCGTTGACCTATTATTGAAAGATGCGCCATGAATTCGACTTCATAAAGCATCGCTGGAGGTCCCTTAATTCATATCTGGACTTTATAATTACTTGCGGTAGTCTATCGATGTATCCAACTAGTGCTGCTATTATCCCAGAAAAGTAAGGTACCAATTTTCCGACCCCGGACGGATGGAGGGCTTGGTGAGCCTGGGGCGTGGGGATCGATCCCATGTGAATCGCAGGAAATTCCTCCGACCACTGAGCTACACGTGCCTCACAGCATAGTAGGAAATAGGAAACTTTAATAAACATTGGTACATGCAAACGTTAAGAGGAGATAAATAATTTTAATCGCACTATCGAAAAAGCGAAAAACTTATTGCGTACCTTACAACCGTTGCAAGAAATCACTCCATAATGCGTTCCCGTTGATTTATCGCCACAGACGGCACACGGTTCAGCGAGTGGATCCACTGAATAAAAAACAAAAACCACAATAAATACTTGTGAAGGCATATCTAGTGATTGTCACGACCGACTTTCTATTAAGCTCGGCACTGACCAAACAGTTCTCGATATTCTAGCTGAGCAAACACGAGGTGTTACTTTATTCTTCACTCCGATAAAGCTGACGTTTCGGCAGTATCGCCTCCATCAGAGTCTGGAAGGCTACCTTAAGCCGTTCCTACACACAGCTTTCCATGCTGAAAGAAGGCGATACAGCCGAAACGTCAGCTTTAACAGAATAAAGAATAAAATAACATCTCATGTTTGCTCAACAAGAATAACAGATAATTCGAAAACCATTGTAGCTATCTAAATAGACCTTGACGATGAATACTAGACCATATTGAAGTGCTCCAGCATAAAAACCTCAAATAAAGTTTACTGTCACTTTATGCATCTCAAAATACAAGTCTAACCGCTCAATGTCTTCCAAAAATTTTGAAAAGTTACGATAACGATCTCATTGTCAATCGAAATAAACGCTCTCGTTGATTTTGCTCTTAGTAACTCAAAAGACCGACTTCCTACAAACATTGGCATAAATAATCGAAATATTTAATTATCCTCCCAACGCCTTCCCGCCTCATCGTGGCTGGGAGACGTTACTAGGTGTCGGGTTGCGATGTAGAGCGGGTATTCATCCCCAGGGCAGGGTCTCACAAGCTTAGACAGAATCCAACGTTTCTTTCAAGAAACCTAGCTAAGAGAAAACCAATACCAGGATCCACCACCATCCTAGTATAAAACTAGTCGCATGGTGGCAAATCTCCCTCTGATCCATAAAGGCGGTGACTGTATGCGGTGGTGACGACCTGGAGCAGACTTTGGCTTGGCTAACCTCGGTACTCCAGGGAACCACAATGGCTAAACCAGCAAAACTCCCAAAAATGGAGATTATGCTGGAGCCCATACACATAACCAGTGAGCACGGGCCATCCAGGCATCCAAATAAGTATATTCATTTATATGTTCCTGTAAACTGATCTTTTTCGAGCTGATGCGAGGTTGGTACAAGTTGTTGTCGTTGTTTTTGTTGTCGCTGTTGGTCGATGACCGACGTTTCGGCGATTTCGCCTTCCTCAGAGTTTTGTTGTTATGAGTGGGACTCACAGCAACAACTGCAACAATGACAACGACAACAACAACAACAACAACTTATACCAACCTCGCATCAGTTCCACAAGATCAGTTTATAAGAACACGTAAATAAATATATCGATTTTTACTTCCCAAACCAATGGTTTGAGTGAGTCGGTAGGGGCAACTCCTATCTCCTGACTTATTCAAGCTCACAAACATTCCAGAGCTACAGAAATGAATAGCGATGAAAACTTTGTAGGTTCTCATGTTCAAAAATAGAACTTTGACTCGAACATACTTGTTACGGGGTTCACGAGCCAAAACTGAAGCGTGAACAAAAAAGGATCAATCGGGTATCCGAAACACGAAAGGAAACGGTAAATATGTTCTTAGGAACAAACACTACAACAAAAGCAATCTCTCAAGATTTTGACCTCTGCAAAAACTTTACGTAGCTTTTCCTCTGTAGCAAAAAAAAATCACTGTAAATAACTTTAAAAAACCTTTACTAACAAACCTAAGTCGGTTTCCATTAACGGACAACACGTAACGGAAGAGAGGAAGAAGAAGAAGAAGAAGAAGAAGACGACGACGACGACCACGGCGACGGAGATTTCGGTGCGGTCGTGAAACCTGCAACGAACCCGCTAGCGCACGACGATCGATAGGCGGCGCGACGACCGCGCGCGATGTAGCGCGGCCACGCCGTAGTGCAGCTGCGACGACTGGACAATACGCGCGAGTGTGCATTGAGAGCAATGCATGCGGTGAAATAGAGTATCCAGGAACAGTTCTATATTACCAATTAGTGGTGCTCACTTTCATTTTAACGACAACGATTATAAAGGAAGATTGAAAAATGACTCGCTATTTTAAAACTCCCATAATTTGTTCATTAACTAGAATTTTTACAAGAAGTGATTATGAGAGAAAGCGTATAGCATGTGGTTTTATTTAGAGTTCGATGCGAGCAGCATTATTAGCAGCTGGCCTTCCAAGTTGTTCCGAAACCGCATCAACTGATCTCACCAGGAACTCTTGTAGGTGAAAGAAATAACTCCTAGTATTCGCCTTTCAAGTTTTTCAAAGTCGCTGATTTGTTACAGTAGACTACCCTGATAACCAACCACAGGGAAAAGTCGCATGGTGCTTAGCCATGGCTTCTGGCTGACCATTCATGTGGCCACGACGACAATCCATCCGTCTTCGAGGAAAGCAGTCACTCGCTCACTCATGAGCAACAAAGGTGAAATCACGACGAGCATCATCTTGTACGAAAATCAAGTATTCAGCATTCTCTCAAGTGCTGATAGATGGACAAATTTCATCTCGCAGCATGCTGGCGTTAGAGCTTTTGTCATTCGTGGCGATGCGAAGCATGATGGAACCCACAATCCTGTGCGAAGTTATTCACCCATACCGTCACCTTAAGCAGATTCTGCATTTTTTCAGAGGTAATACGAGGGTCTTCTCCCACAGCGAATCTCCAAATTTCGCAACGTTCCACCAGCTCAACAACACTCTTGCAGGGTTAGATGTCAGGTCATGTTTATTTTATTTTATTTTTTTTCATTTATTTGACCCGTTTTCACGTCTACTGTGCGGATCCCAGCACTTCTCACATTCAGTTCGTTTCCTCGCATCCATTGTCCACAAAGATCTTACAACTTTTACGTGTGGCTTCGGATGATGCTTGAGGGTTTTCATTTCATCTTGAATGTCGTAGAATTCTGCTCGAACAGTTCTCGCTGGAGTCCTGAGATAACCGGGCTGGAGCGATCTCAATTGGATTGCAGAGAGTTTTTTTCCCAGACAAGTCAGGTGCCAGTTTCCCGACGCCGGAGGGATAACAGGCTTGGTTAGCCCGGAGCGGAATCGAACTACAACCATGCTTGCGATGATGGGCATTATTACCACTGTGCTATCCGCACCTGACCATGTTTATAGGCCTTCGGAATTTTTCGAACAAAATAACCGATTTGTAAACAATAACAACAGATCTGATACCCATACATGAAGCAACATGCCGAAAAATTTCGAGAGGAATGTTGCAATATAAAGACAAATGATGAGTGTTTTAAAACAGGAAGTTACTTTTCAGTCACCCTATAGATGTTTGCTAGTAAGAGCAGATTGTAAGACCCATATTTTCTGAGGAGTTTAGCCAAGTTCTTTGAACTAACGGACCATCACTGGGCGGTTCTGGAGTGCGATGAGCTTAACGGAGTTCACTTATACCAGTTAAAGTTACTGGATGGTTAATCAGGCTATAGAGACCGGTTCAATGAAAAGTTGAATATCCGACAAAGATGTGAAGTTGTGTTAGCTGCAGTCATAAGTAATGGCTTGAAGCAATTGACCATCACCAAAAGGATCTACAGTAGATGAAAAACAGGGCATCCTGTTAGACGACTATGGTATTCTTCCGTTAGCTTTAAAAGAGAAAGTAGGAGAGAGAAATGGGAAAAAGATTGCCTGAAAATAGCACGAGTTGGTCTTTGCGCTGTACAAAACCAAAGCACACGAACTGGTATAAGATCCCTGAATGAAGAAAATCACATAGAAAACAATTTCTCTTTTCCATAATAAGAAGGCTAATAGGAAATTTAACAGAGCATGATATGGCTTTATAAACTGATGGACACCGGTGTCGAGATCGTCCAGCTGATAAGGAGTAGAAGTGATAACATTATTGAATGGAAGAAAGTAAATATGGTGGGGGTGAAGAAGGAAAAGGCGAAAAGTAGGAAGAGAAGTGAAGAAAAAATTTGAAAAAAAACGAATGGTAGCATTTCATGGTAAGAGTACGGAAAGATAAAAGTATAAGTGGTCTCCTGCTGGTCAAAGCCTCCTGCTGTGGCTTACACAACTGCGTCTGCCCTTTTAGCTATAGAACACCATAAGCTGGAGAATAAATCGGTCGTAGTTGCCTACAAGTCAACAAAATGAAACCTTTCAGCCTCGACCAACGACCAGATCCACCTGTAATCTCCTTGTTAGTAGTGGATTGAGTCCATCTAGCTTAGAGCGGCAGTAAATCCACTCGACCCTCTTTCCACATATCAAGTACACTTATTGAGTTTCGTTCGCTTTAAGTACACAGAGATTTCAACAACTTTCATTCATTTTGTTCATTTTCACTGATCTTGACGAGAAGCTATCCTTTGCGCTTTGTTGTGGAACTGGGCTTGAGGTATATTCAATGAAACTTGTTTTGCTCTCCCAGAGTAGATATGCCAGTTATTTTTTGTAAGCAACTCTGGATCGCCTTTCATCCGACTTTTCAGTTATTTGATTTAAAATTTTCGAAAAAATGTGTACGCAGGATATAATACAGCCACAACCGTATATTCATGAATAACACTTCTTATGGGGAAAATTAATGTTAATCCGACGCAGTCGAGAATAGGAGCCATTCTAAGGAGAAGACATAAAGCCTTCGTCGTTGACCCACCGTTCAGAGGTGTACCTACTTAGTTGATACTTGAACGGCCCGCCCTCAGTAGTTGTGCGGACCCCAGCATTATCACCATTTTGCCGAGATTTGCTGACTAAAGCATTGTGCTTCTCTGGAATCCCAAGGACAGCCTGGCCAAAGTCGGTACCAGGACTTCACCACCACAGGCTGTTGCAGCTCTTGTGGATCAGAAGGAGATTTGCCACCATGCGACTTTAACACTAGGACGGTGGTGGGTCCTGGTATTCGTTTACTCTTAGCTAGGCTTCCTGATGGAAAGGCCGGATTCCTTCTCAGCTTGGGAGAGCCTGCGTGGAGGGAGCATGGGCTCCCCGTTGTACATCGCAGTCCAATACCCAGGGACACCTCCCAGCCACGATGAGGCGGTAAACCGTTGGGAGGGTTCATGGGTATATAGGTGATTAAATGAATATTTGGCCTATACAATGACTTGTGTGACCTATGCTGCCGT